TTTCCATTTTAATACAATATGGTTTGTCCTTTGCCAAAATGTTGGTATGGGAGAGTTATTACTCCATTATTAGCTTTTCTTCTGCATTTTATGAGCAAAGTAGTTGAAAAGTGGGTTAAACATTTTCACATGATAGAAAATAGTATAAAATCATAATTGATGAAAGTCAATTATTTCTCTGTGGATTTTTCTTTCTGTATTTAAAAAAATCACCTAGGCTTATCTATTTTTGGCAGACAGTGATAGATTGAAGAGATTTAAATATTATATGCTTATTTTTAGATTTTCATTCTAAACCAGGTTGTTTTTCAGATAGTTAATAAAATTGAAAAACAATTTTAGCATTTTCAGTAAATGCTGTAAATTACAATGATTAAAGTATGAGAAATAGAATATTAGATTATTAAGATTTATCCAGCCTGATAGTTTGGTGCAATTTCTTTAAAGTGTATGTCTTACAGAGAAAAACCATTTTCTTCTTATTCCTTTAGTGACTCAGGAGGTGTAATTGCAAAGTTTAACATTGCCTGTAATCTTGTTGAATCTTTTGGCGCCAAAATGTATCATGTAAAATTGCATATATTATGTGTGTGATGTGCATATTGTATTGAGAATTTATTCATATAGCCATTTCTTCTTTAGCAGCTGAGCTTACCATATCTCAATAATAGAAATTTGATTGTTGTTGTTTACAAATCATGTCTTGGTCTGGTAATGATTTTCCAATGAAACATACCCATAATACTATACTTTTTTGTAATAAACATTGTCCAACATTGCACTGAATGAGAAAAGGAGTAAAAGTATGCCAAAGATATTGAGCTATAGAAATTGAATAAATAAGAAAATAAAGATAAATGCAGTACAAAAAAGAAAAGAAAACCATAGCTAAAACTAGCTTACACCAATATCATTTACTATACCTTTTCATACCATTCTATCCTCACAAAGCATCCTTGCTTCTACTTTGCCACTTATATGCTCTATACCAGGGGTAGGCAACCTTGGCTCTTTTATGACTTATGGACTTCAACTCCCAGAATTCCTGAGCTAGCCATGTTGGCTCAGGAATTCTGGGAGTTGAAATCCACGAGTCATAAAAGAGCCAAGGTTGTCTACCCCTGCTCTATACATTGCATTTGTTCTTCAAAGTTCTCGCCTCTTATCTTTTTATGGATTTAATTTACTCCATCCAATCGCAATTTTTTTGCACTTCTCCTTTCTCTTGACTAATTCACTTTTCCAGTATATTTTTTTCTCATTAATTCTTTTAGTATGACCAAGTTACCTCAATGTTCTTCTTTTTGCTCATCAGTCTATAATTGTTGTTCCCATGTCTTCTTGCTTTACTGCTCGTGCTTCTTCAGTAGGCCATTCCATCTGCATTTTATGTTTTTCATACTGAATTCTCATTTCCTTGTAAAAAGTGTGCAGAAACGTATTCTTAAGTACAGCCATTTATGCTTCTTTCAGCATTCTCTTACAGTAGAGAAACACACTACTCAGTACTTTTTACCAGCCTGTTTATAACTTAAATTGGCTTCATTTCCCCATTTTTAGTAAACATTCAAACAAGCTATATAAATTCATTTTTAATCTGCTTTTTCCCTTCATGTATAACTTGCCATTGTTAGCTTCATTTTCTTATCAAACACAACAGACTTGGCCTTTGTTACATTATGTTTCATATTTGTGCTTCTCATTATGTCATACAGCCTAATGTTTATTGTAAACCATTTAGGTTCTTGGCCAGAGGTTTAGCATCATCTGCATACAAGATACATGTATATCCATGTTCCTGATCAACATATTTATATTAATACCACCACAAGAATCTATTTTTATTTATTAAATTTGTGTCCTGTCCATCTTTCTACCAAGCACCTCTGGGCAGCTTATAATGTCATAAAAAACAATAAGAGAATAAAATATTAAAACAGCAGACGTTAAAAGCTAAAACATTAAAATTAATGTTAAAATGGATAAAAAGAAGCAGTGCATACATGGAGTTGAGGTGAGATCTTGTACTAGTCTACTAGCCGCCTCCAAAATGGGATGCCCTCATTGTGCCACAAGTCAGTTGGCAAATCCAGGTTTTCAGGCTCTTTTGTAAGGCCAAGAGGATGGTAGATTTCAACTTAAGAGGCATGATATCCCAAAGGGTGGGAATCACAGCAGAAAAGGTCCTCTCCTGGACTTCCCCCAGCTGCAATTCCTTGACCTACAGGATCCAGAGCATGTCCCTTTTGCCAGAGCAAGTGGGGCAGGCCAATCCTATTGAGCTGTGATGGTCACCCAGATAACGTGGACTTGTGCCATAAAGTGCTTTAAAGGTGATAATCAAACCTTGAATTGGACCCAGAAGCAAATCAACAACCAGTGAATTTGTGCAACCATAGTGTAGCATGGGCCACCCTAGTGTTCATGCGTCTGTAGCTTCCAAATGCCCCATGTAGATTGCACTGTAGGATAGCCCCATGTAGATTGCACTGTAGTAGTCTAAGCGTAAGATGACCAGGACACAAGTGGCTGAGCTCAGAAATCGTGGGCGTTCCATCACTGGAGATTTTTAAGAAGAGGCTAGACAGTCTCTTGTCTGAGATGGTATAGGTCCATGATGGCGAACCTATGGCACGCGTGCCACAGGTGGCATGCAGAGCCCTCTCTGTGGGCACGTGCACCATTGCCTTAGTCCTAGGCCTTCAGCTGGGTTTTATAAAACCTTTTCACTTTAGGCCTCCGCCGCCTTGTGCAAAAAAAAAAAAGTTCAATCAATCAATCAATTTCAACTTCTCGTGGGAAAAAAAGATCTCGCAAAGTTGGAATTGATTGATTGAACTTTTTAGTCCCACCCAGTCTGCCGTTACCGCCGCAGCCACGCCCACCCAATGGGCCATGCTCACCCAATTGGCCACACCCAGCCAATGGGCCACACCCACCCGGTACTCGACGATACATAAGTGGGCTTTGGGTTGCAGTTTGGGCACTCGGTCTCTAAAAGGTTCGCTATCACTGGTATAGGTTCTGCTTGAGCAGGGGCCTGGACTAGAAGACCTCTAAGTCCTTCCAGCTTCTATTCTATTCTATTCTATTCTATTCTATATATTATATTATATATTATTGTCTCTAATTATACTAAAAATGCGAATCCCGGGTATATTCATGTTGAGAAAAGTAGTCGAACACCGGGATAAATATAAAAACAACTGTTTAATAAACTAACAACTGTTTGAAACGAAAGCTAAGTTTATCAAACAGTTGTTAGTTTATTAAACAGTTGTTTTTATATTTATCCCGGTGTTCGACTATTTTTCTCAACATTATATATTATATATTATATTATATATTCTATTCTATTTTATATTCTGTTCTATTCTATATTCTACTATATATTCTACATTCAGGCCCCCACAGCCTCCAGGCACCAGAAGAGGGCAGCAAAAGCAAAACTTTTTGGTCTCTCCAAGATGTATTCTAAACACATTAAAGCAGTCAAAGGAACATCATACATGTATACATGTTTAGCATTGAACTGTTTGTTAAACATTCCATTTATTATCATGTATGTTTTCTATCCATCTTTTACTATCTTCAGCCACCAATGTTTAATTGCATACTCACACAAAACAATTCATCAATTAAGCTTTCTTTCAAGCACTTTCTCTTAATCAACAAACATATAAGAAACTTTATTTCTCACATTCATTTCTGATGACATGGTGAAATGGAGACATATGGTCTCCATGTCCTCTGCCTAATATAAAATTGTTTACTTCACAAATTTTGCTCAGTATCATCTTTCATAACCTTCCTATCAGAATTCAGCCGAACATCTTCCTAAGTGTATTTAATGAACTAATCTCCCTAATGTTTTGCATTCACCTTTCTTTTTTTTTGCTTGCTGTTTTTCCACAGCCACTCTATAAGTAATCCACATTCTTATTTTAAAAATTTTGCTGTCAACATCTGCAGTCTTTATTGTTTTTAACATTCTCATAGCATGTATGACTTTTCATTATCATTTTTCTTGGAAATTTATATTAATAGCATTTGCTTCAGTTGGACTTTTTCGTGTATTACTATCTGTTCATAAGATCCCTAATTCTGTTAATTTTCTTCTCAGACTTTTCTTGCATTTATAATATGTATTCCAATTGTATTATTTAGCTTATTCCTGTCATTCCTCTACAAATCTCTGAAAAACTCATTCCAGCATTGCCTTGTGCCAGTTTAATTCCAGTTCATTTTGTCGATTTTAATTACATTAACTCTGCTGGAAGCTCCTTGTATAGCCCTCTTCTAAAACCCATTTTTCCTATCAAAACCACTCTGCATTTTCTTTTCCTCTTCTTAGCTATATTCCCTGCTCTTTTAAATTATGTTCCATATAAGTGTCTCTCTTGTCTGGATTTCTTACAGCAATAATTCCCTTATATGCATTTTTGCGATAATTTACGAGTCATCTATTTCCATACCATTAATGTAACTATATGTACATTTGTGACAATCTGTAATGTAACTCTTGGCATTCTGTTCCAAGCAGCTTGTATATGCTCGTTCCTTACATCCATTTCCCATGTATTCTCTTGGAAAATCAATGTGGTATCTAATGCTTTTTTTTATATTGAACATTTCTGCTGTCACTCCTTTTTTTTTTAACTTTTCCCCAAAAGTTTCATTTTGATATTACAAAAACAATTTATTAAAAAAATATGTTATTCTTTCATACAGTTTTCACATTCAGTGAAATCACAAAGTAACATAATAGTGGGGTTGTACCTGGTACTGGTTGAATTATTTGGTGGCATATATTGGAGAAGTAATACATCAACCTGCTAACATGGAAAAGAGTGAGAGTGGATTAAATGCTGGAAAGAGAAGTTCAAACTGAACTATAATGGGGGGAAGGGAGGACCATGTGAAATTTATTTTAAGAAAGAACGAAGCTCTTAATGATCTGATTTGCCTTAGAACTAACATCATTCTATTTTATTTTGCAGGGCGTGTTTATTATTTCAACCACATCACAAATGCCAGCCAATGGGAGCGCCCCACTGGCAATAGCAAGAATGGTCAAGGGGAGCCAACAAAAGTGCGATGCTCACACCTCTTGGTGAAACACAATCAATCTAGGAGACCCTCATCATGGAGGGAAGATAAAATCACGCGAAGCAAGGAGGAGGCCCTGGAACTAATTAATGGCAAGTAAAAGTAAAGGAAAGTGAGAACATAACTTCCTGTAATCCTCCTTTCTGCATCAGGCCACCTAGCATTTCATGCAATTCTGTCCTTTAATATTTTTGTGGAGCCTAATACACTACAGCAGGGGTCTTCAAACTTGGCCCTTTTATGACTTGTGGACTTCAACTCCCAGAATTCCTCAGCCAGGCACGCTGGCTGAGGAATTCTGGGAGTTGAAGTCCACATGTCATAAAAGGGCCAAGTTTGAAGACCCCTGCACTATAGGGTGATAGCAAGTGGCAGAAGGGTCCTCCTACTCATTCTTCACCCTTTTTGTTTTCAGTTTTATATGTTTCTATGGGAGGCTCCCAAAATTCTACTAATTGTATATGCCCAAGACCATGTTGATTCTGGTATGAGGGCTGATTCCAGGATCATTATGTTGTTATGTCTCTAGGCCTTATAATAGTGAAATACATTTTGAAATGGGGAAGATTTGTGAAAGACTTCGTTTGCTTGGCTTCTTGCCAAAGCTACCCATTTACTCATCTGGCCTATATAGCTCTATTACTTCATCACTTTTTGCCCAGAATCACAACTACCACACTATTTTGTGTCCTATATAAAGTATGATTAATTAAATATGCAAAATAAATTCAGTAGGAGATTACCTGAAGCTTTGGTCAGAAACGTGAACTGTTTTGCACTGGTTATATTTCTAGATATCTTTCTAACAAAATCTAGGTTATTAAGATCTATTACATCCATATACAAGATGAGATGATAAAAATTTTCTCCTGAACAGTACCATTTCATACTGATGACGGAGAATACATACATAACACACACAGTCATTGAGGGAGAAAAATATTGAGGGAAGATATTTTTTTTCTGGGATATCCTTCTTTTAATAAGCAGAGGATCATATTGGTCTGATTGGCATGTCACCTCAGAAATGGATAAAGGTAGCACTGTACTGCTCAGTTGCTCCTACTTACTTTATTTTGCCATGGGTGGGTAACTGTGGCAAGGTCATCCAATCTTGTTTTTCAGTTCTCAAAACCCATAGGATTGAGTAGCTGCAGATTGATGATAGAAATGGAAATTTGAGGCATTTGTTATGTTTTTAAAGATTTAAGTGTAAGATCAGTGTAAAGTAAAATCAGGCCCCAAATTGGAAAGGCTAAAAAAATTGACTCGGCTTTCTCTGGAGATGTGTGAGTGGCCAAACCCTTCCTGAAGCTGTAAGAAGACCAAAATTTTGAAAAAAGTCCCCAGAGAAAATAAATAATAAAATTTTTGATCAAGATAAACTTTTTTTTTAATATTGTGTCTGAATTGCACCATTTATCCCTTGCACTATTCATAAATCTAAAGCTGCAAGCTAGGGTTTGTTCTTACTCTGGCTTAATAGAGTGGACTTTACCTGTTTTTTTATTTGCAAGCCAACTCCCTTGCTTGCTCTTAATAAACCAGGATTCTGTGCATGCACATAAAATGCTCAATCCTAAAATTCTTCACCTGTGGCCTGATGGAGTCTTGAAGAACTGTTATCTATTTTATATGATTTTATGTAGTTTATCATGATTCATTTCTAAAACGTGATTATTTTGAAATCTTAAAACATTTGGGTACCTTCCATTTCCAACTATTTCTGTCTCCAGTGCTGTTCAACATGGAAGTGCAGAAGATTACATTATCACCTAAAAGTGAAAAGAGCTAGGTCAAAGTTTCTGTAACATTCTTCCATTCTCCCCAATTCATAAAGCTCTTTAACAGGAGAAAGAGAATATTTCCTACTGATCAAAACTGCTAAACCCTGTTCTAGAGTCCCTGGAAAGTAGAACATTGTTAAATACAGACAACATTTGGGTTAGCAAATAAGAAGGGAAAAGACTGACTTAATAAAATAAAAAGTGGTCACGAAACTAAAGATTTTAGTATGGAACCCTATACTGCTCAACCATTTGGGAAAAAAATCACAAATCACTGGTGATTGAACTATTAGTTGCCAGATTCAGTGTCTTTATGTTATTCTAGATCCCACATTTAGCATTTCATTTTGTACAGCCATAGCTTTATTTGTATTTTCTTTGTAAAAATAATGTGTATTTTTATTTTGAAAATAAAATGTGCGTTTTTAAAGTCATAAGCCTTTTTTCAGCACACTTTCCTTATTTATTTCACTGGAGGGTTGTAGTAAAACAAAGCTGTGAAAACTAGTGTGGGATAGTTATCTACTGAGGTGAAATCATGTTTTATGTATTCAGCTTAATAATTTTCAGTTTCAACATAAATGTGATTAAAATGGTTTTAAAGTATTAAATCTATTTTAGTGTAGAAGGAGGTGCTGGGAGACTGTTTTCCCCATGATTTTTGGTAGTTGAGGTCCCCAGGGAGGCAGGAGAGTGTCATTGTGATCTTACACGTGTAGAACCATATTCTTTTCTTATTTGGGGGTTTTCTGGGGTATTTGCTTCCAAGCCTGGTCTGGCATGATATCTAAGGGAGTATTGGACAAAAAAAAAATATCTTACTCCGTATATTTGTGTTAGCTGGTGGAAATTTTCCCATTATGCAGTTGAAGCTTCTGGCTAACCAAAGATGGGGAAGAAACTATTTTTCACGTACCTAATATTCTTTTGGTGGTACATGCCAATCTTCCCACCTCCCTTGTATATTTCCTGATTCGTTTCATTTCATTCAGTGTTGTGCATCAAAGCCAGCTCCACTTGAATGAGATGGTGACACAATTCAGCAGCACTATGCCTTAACTAAAATTGGCCAGCTTTCTAGTTTATTTCATTGGATTAATATACAGAAGTGACTCACTGAGAATCTTGTTTTTAAAAAACTACAAGCAAAAGATACCCTGACTGAACTCTTTACGAATGTTCAGTCTTTGAGAGTTAAATATCCAGTACTGTTGTTCTTGAAAGAGCAAATTTCCCAGACCTTTAGCCAATTTTACTGGACCTGGGAATAAGCAAAGAAATTTGCAACAGTCCTGCCTATTGCTCAGCCTGTACTGGCTTGATACTGTTTTTGATATGTTAAATATTTACCCTACAGTTTAGTTTAAGTGAAGATGACTAACTCGGCCTCACAGAGTTGTGAGGATAAAATTGGAATTGCTTAATGTGCATCCTTATGCTATTAGAGAAAAGATGAAACATATATTTAAATGTTAATGGTGATTTTATTTTATTTATTTTTATATTTACTTACTTATACTACACCTTTAATATTTTTACAAATAAATGAAGGTGGCAAACATATTCAACACATCTTCCTCTTCCTATTTTCCCCAGAAGAACAACCCAGTGAGGTGAGTTAGGCTGAAAGAGAGTGACTGGCCCAGGATCACCCAGCTGCCTTTCATGACTGAGGTGGAACTAGAACTCACATCTCCCAGCTTCTCCAGCATGATGAGTGTAGAATCCACCGATGGGTAATCTCAGCCTTCCTGCTCAGTTGAGACTAAGTCAGAAATCTGCCACGCCTCCTTCTGGGCTGTACCTTTCCCAGTTTTTGACTTAGTCTCAGCTCAGTAGGACGCAAGTATTTTGGCTCCTCTGTTTAGACTAGGTTAATTAGCTTTATTCAGTTAAGTAATTGCATTGGTACTTCAAATTTAAAATCAAATTCTATTTTCTCTCTCTAATTGGTCTTGATAATTCGGTTCCAAATTTGCAGGGCTGCAACGGTTGAGCTTTGGCTTTAGCGAGCCTCATAGGCTCTACTCGAGCCGATCGTTGCAACTTTTACAGCCCCACCTTCAGCGTGCCTTGCAGGCTCCGCTCGGGCCAATTTCCACCGTGTCGGCCTCACCGGAGCCGGATCGGCTCGGATTGGACCGATTCTNGGCCGCCCGAGGAAGCCGATCGGCTGATTGCTTCCTCGGCGAGTGCTTGTTGGGAGACGGGGATTGCGGCTGCATCCCCGGGAAGGCCGTTTTCCACGGAAACCGCGAGGTTTTCCGTCGGCGGCTGCGGCGCTCCGAAGAAAGCAGACACAGGCCGATTGCCACTGTGATCGCCTTTTCGGCCGTATTTTCGGAGCGGTCAGCCGGTCAGCCGGTTTGCGGCTGTTTGTGGTGAGGCCCACGACCGCCTTGCGCATAGTTGGCCTCTTGTGCTCCCAACCATTTGACAGTTGGTCTTTTTGGCGCGGCCGCCATTTTGAAGCAGGGAAAAAATTTTTTTTTTTTTTTTTAGCCCAGGCACTGTAGTCGAGGGACTAATATTCACAGTGGCTTGATTGATTCATGATCACCTTCAGTTGAGGGATTAAGAATCTGGGGGGAAAAAAAGCAGTCTCCAGAAGGAGCAATTGATTAGACGTTAAGTGGCCCATTTGATTCCCTCAGGACAGGCCACCATTTTACAGCGGCGGCCATTTTGTGAACGGGGTCCTGTCCCCTCTTACAAAGAATTATACTTACAGCTCCCTTAGGCTGATTCAGTCACAAGCCCTTATTTTCATAGCTTGGTGGCTCCTTGGTCTCTATAATAATTGGATAAACCAACTTTTGTGCTGTGTACTAATTTCAGCACTCAGGCGTGCATTGGTTTTCACTGATTTGTTACTGCCAGTGATTCAGAGGACATACGGTGACCCCTTAGAGCACCGGTCCTTTTCTGTGACACGTTTTCCACGGGCACCAGGCATTCCCATAGCGTGTCTGTCGCTGCCTGTGATTGCACCCGTACCTGGGTCCCAGGCGTCCTCTGGAATTGCGTCTGGCCGCACCCAAGGTAGTAATTCCCTCTAGGTACCGGGGGACCCCACTCGAGCCCCTGCGCTATCAGAGGATGGACAGTATAGAGCCCCTTGGGAAGGAGGTCGTGTCCCCTTCATTGGCCGGCACGAGTCCTGTAACACCTCATCCGGACGGATCTGACCGTGCTGCGCAAACCGCTAAGTCAAAATCCGCAAAGAAGTCATCCAAGGGGGCGGATAAGCACGCCACCAGGAGGCACCAAGCTCTGGAAAAGGAGTTCTCTAGGGCACAAAAAAT